TAATGGCAGTAGTAGTAGTCGTCGTCGTGGTGGTGGTGGTGGTAGTAGCGCTCTTCGTGACTACCAAAAGCGACAGCTTCCAGCCAGCTGCACATCAGGAGCATCCATGATGAACGAAAGAGATCTATAGGGTAGAGTGGGCGGGATCGAAAATCCGGGCCGATCGGCTGATCTGATCGCCAAAATGGCCACGGATCATAGTTTCAAGGCTGTTATTCCGATCGCGAAAACTGATCCAATTCCTAACCTACCAAACCGATAATTAGGGCAGTAGCAGTAGCAGTAGCAGTCAGTAGCAGTAGCAGTCAGTAGCAGTAGCAGTAGCAGTAGCAGTAGCAGTAGCAGTAGCAGTAGCAGTAGCAGTAGCAGTAGCAGTAGCAGTAGCAGTGGTAGTAGCAGCAGTATCAGCAGAAGTACTGCCGCAATAAGAATAATAGCAGTAACAGTAGCAGTAGCAGTACTCGTAGTCGTAGTAGTACTCGTAGTAGTAGTAGTAGTCGTCGTCGTCGTCGTCGTGGTGGTGGTGGTAGTAGTAGTAGTAGTAGTAGCGGCAGCAGCACTAGCAACAGCGCTGGCACCAGCACTTGAACTAGCACCAGCACTAGCAGGAGCAGTCGTCGTCGCAATAGTCGCAGTATTCGTCAGCAATCGTCGTAGTAGTTGTCATCGCAGCAGCAGCAGCAGCAGCAGCAGCAGCAGCAGTCGTAGTAGCAGCCGCAAAGTTTGTACGGCAAGTAGGCTGGCATGAATAAACGCTTCCACGTCGCGGAGGCATCCCGGGGCTTGCATGCAGGCAAATTTGGCTGTGCCGTGATCCGGGCCAGATTGGGGAACTACCTCGCTTCTCTGAGCATACATTGCTCTAGCATCCTGAAGGTACTGAACCTGCAAGACTTGGAGTTGAGGGCCTGCAACCGTCCTGCACTGTCTTGGCTTCGCACATTCGCAACTACCAAACGATTGCGGTGCCTCAGGAATCCGTGCAGAGCCTACAATAACACCGGTGTGCCGAAAGAAGCTGCATGCAGACCCGCAGACCCCCTTACCAGTGCCTCTGCAACCTCCAACTTTATTTCAAGTTGCTGGTAAGCTGTGATGGCCGTCGTCCCAGACAGCTCTGCTTGATGACGATGCTCTTTCTCAATCTTCTCCTGCCACACACTTTGCTGTGATGTCCCACAATGCCGCACTAACCTGGGCAAGCTATGAGTCAAGACAAGCGTATTGGCAGTGTCTGGAGTTCATCCTCTTGGGTCTGGGGCAACCCTAGCCCCAATAGCCGCGCCTGGGTGTCTCGAAACGCGGCCTTGCGAGCACTTGCTTCTAGAAAGGTCGGTGCAACCAACATCTTGTAAGCCATGAAAACCCAACTGGAAGATTGCACATGCCTGTATCGCCGCCACGGGCTCGGTATGGAGATCTGTATTGCTGAAGAGGCTCTTGCTGAGAGCCTTGGAACAACGCGAGCTATCGCTCGGAGGGAAGCGCCGGGACACTGCCTTCTGCCTTCTGCCTGAAGCCAAGCCTCTGGCCTGCTTTGCAAAGTGGGACATGCGCTTTCCCTGATCTCCGTGTCCGTCGAAAACCTCGGGATATCTCGCGATCGAAGTGGTGGAACTCGAGAACGATCTGAACCCATCTGGACTGTGGCTTATATGAGTCGCGACATCTCTATACATTCAATCCTTGGTGCGTGGCACCCACGAAGCATTTGGTCCCATTTTCGCTGCAAGAGGTCACGAAAGCATCCTCATTGCATTGAGCTTTAAGTTCTGAGCGACAAGCCGGACCAGCTACAAGTATTGCAGCTTGCTGCAGGGTCGGCTAAGGCTAAAGTTTGGCGAACAGGTCTTCAAGTCCCTTAGTGGATTTTTGGAAACCACGGCTTGTGCGTCCTAGCAGGGTTTTTCCACTGGGAGTTGAAGCTTGGCCCCTGCAGCTCTCCCTTCTCTCCTTGCAAAAACAAGGTAACGCCACATGAAACGACCCGCGCGAAAGGCAACATGGCAGTTTTGCCGATGCAAAACGATGATTTCTGGATCATTAGCTCTTGTGTTGGGAGACCTCTTTGCTCAACCTGGAAAAGGGAACTAGTGTTTTTGGTTGCCTTGCCGCTGCGAAAACGAGGTTTTGCGTTGTATTGGACGTCGTCAGACAGAACGAGACTAGCCCCCCCCTCACCCACAATACCCCAGAAGCAAACCAAAACAAGCAAAAACAAGAATAACCCGCGGGTCAATTGGTAGTGCGTTAGCAAAAACAAGGCTCCAGTATATACAGCTCCAACTTCAACATAGTGATGCTGAACGCTTGAAACAGATTTGGCAGCATGAGCATGGAGCTCCGCTCCTGGTTCTCATCTCCCTTGCCAAAATTGGGCACGCTCCAGGCTCCCACGACGGCCTTTGGGCCCGCAACATCTCCTGCGAACAAAACAGGCAACGCATCACAGTTATCAAAGCGACTCTGATGATTCTTATGAATGAATGATTCGAACGCGCCCAACAACTTCGGGAATTCGTATCTGTGTCGCTGACATTGACTACGGCAGCTCCTTTGGGACGCAACGAAGCCGGTGTTGCGGGTGGACATGGAGCTGGGCCTCAGTACCAATTCCTAGTGCTTAGGTCTGCGCCCACTCCATGGCCTTTACAGTCTCTGCAGTTTGTCTCAGCTCCTGGGAAGCGCGCCATGGCTGCCTTCAGCATGGAACCTCAGGTGCCGAACTCACATCCCACAGCTCCACCTGTGCACAACCTTGAAGGTCTCCTCCCGTTCTTAAGAAACACCCAGGAGTCCCTCTGCTATCAGGCGGCATGGCCGCAGCATTCTCTATGAGCGCAAGTTCTGTGCGCTCTCTTTCTGATTTGAGCAACGGACGAGCGACCAAGTACTTCCAGAGTGCTTGTCTAAGGTGTAACAGTCTCTGCCAAGCATTGAGAGCTTGCCCCGCACCATTTCGCAACGCGTCGAGTGCATTGGGGCTTCGCCCTTTCAGTCTCGAAGTTGCGCTCTTCGCAAACGACTACAAGGGCCGCCCAGCGGATCCCTTACTCGTTGTCGCTGTCCATGTTTGCATCCAGCGTGGCCGGGAATGTGTGCGAAATTCCATGGGCGACGGCGCTATTCAGCACTGTGGTATGTCGCTGATCTGGCAACGCTGACAAAGGATAGGTATGGTGAATGGCATGAAAGTCGACACAGTGATAACCTTCACTGCTGATGGAAACGCACGTTCCAAATGCTCTGTTCCAGAACATGTCCTCGGAAGTGCATCATCGCTTCTAGGGCCTTCCACATGATGCAGCCTCGTGGCTGGAAAAAGCTTTCTTGGCAAGCCAGGGCACATCCAGGGTGTAGGAATGTCGCGCTTCTACGATGGCTCCTGCGCTGCCACACGGGTTGAGACTGTACGTTTAGTGGCTGCAAGGGCTACACGCAGGAAGCAGCCACGCTACACCTGCGATGGGTAAAGGCCAGGAAAGGCTCCTGTGGATTCCTCCGTGCCACTCAGCAACACCAGAACTTCCAAATAGGGCGACTCAATCCTCGGCTTGGAACAGCTCTGATTCGCCATTCGTCCTATGAAGGGCCCACATTGATTTCATGTCAGCTTCATGCATGTTGACACAGTGGCAGGTACTTCCGAACGTCATTCGGAGTCGGACTGCCGGTCCTCAGTCTTTCGAACGGCACATGGCGGCACGAAATGTCACTTGAATCGTGCCGCAGGTCCCCTCTACTGTTTCCTATGCTCTATCTCCTGTGAGCCTGCAGAACTCGAAACGGCTCAACTGGAAGGCTCCGATCTTCAAAACGAAGCACGTGCCAGCAGGCACATCTGGCGACAGCGGGCTCTCGTAATTGATTTTGTGGGAGACCATGGCAGGCAGGCCTGCGGTCAGCAAAACCGACGCAAGCATGAATGCGTGAGTCGCCCATCTGTGCCACTTCTACTGAAACAGCCCAAGCCTAGGAATATGATGCCGTTGTGGATATCGGTGTCGGGCTCTTCAAGATGCACGGCGGCAAGCTCCACGCGGATTCCACGCGGCTGGCTTTCATCTCGATGATGCTGCACGCAATACACTTGCCTTGGCTTCGTCAGGGATGGCACAGGATGGGAAAAGGTAGTACTTAGGCTGTCTGCACCAATGTGGTGACATCAGTCGTTCTCTGCCTGTACTAGGAGCCATTGCCTCTTCCCTTCCTTTGGGCATGTTCAAACATGACATGCTTGGGCTTTGTGCTTTCTCGGCGAAAATGCGTCGGCATAGGTGAGACCAGACTCTGAGGGCTTCTCCTATCATGCGGTAGAACTCCCTGCTGCCGGGCTCTGAGCTATGTGTTTGCAGCCAACTTCCCAATATTCAGCTGCTATGCTAAGCCGAAGCTGCTTTGACATGTGTTTGTTTTGCTGGAGACCTGCAAGGCTCGTCGTGCTTTGCCAAGTGGCATTGTCGCCTGTGACAATGGTCGCCAAGACCTTGCACTCAGGCAGGCATGTGTTAACAACTGCACACAATTTAAAGGTGCTTCAATGAGAGGCTAGGGACATGTCGGCCACGCGAAAGCGAAGATATGCACAACCCTCCTCCACCTCTAGCAATGCAGTGTCACTGAAGATCACCTCAGCCGTCACAGCAGGAGGTGTATCGAGACGCAGTTTGTGATGCATTGCCTTCTTCGAATTGCATAGGCTTCGTTGCTGTTGAGCAGGTGGGTCGTTTGCAAGTGGCGGGTTACCTGTACTCTTGGGCTAGAGACACAAGACTCTTTTTGAGGCGAGGGGCTGTATTTGCACGGGCATTCGCATTGGCCAGCTTTTGGAAGACCACCCCGATGACAGTGGCATCCAGCATCAACCCAACCACCGTCTGAACCACGATGAGGACCGCCTCGGGCAAGAAGTCTTGAGGTGCCCTTGAAACAGAAACCTGGTCCTCGTTCTCGGGAAGGCTCGGGGCTTAATGACTCCCAGCAGCTGCTTCCCAGCAGTCGCCGAAGTTAGGGTCTGGAACGCCTTAGCTTAAGAGCCCACCTCTGATGTGACTGCTTCGATAGGCAACAAAAGGGTACCCGCGCTCTGCCTGTCCCATCAACATAAAAGGGGTGTGAGGCAGAGCTAAGGCCTAGCCTCCTGTGATCTGAATGCAGAATCGGGGCCATAGCCGATTGTCATCTGCGTTTCCACTGACAGATAAAAAGCATCTCTGTAGAAGTCGAGGCCGATAGCGCAAACATCGCTGAACCAAATCCAGAACAGAGCAAAGAAGGCGAAGCATGCAAAGTACCTTCCGTGGTTGCCCGATGACAGAAGCACTCGACAGATCACCTGCTTGGCTTCTCGCTCCTTGGAGCTGGGGCCCCGGCACAGTCAACGTCACCACGAAGAGCCCCGGAAAGGGTAGATGAATGACCTTGTCGCGATTCCAGAACTGATTCTAGATGAGCCTGACGCAGCTGCACAAAAAAGCCGGACTCATGGCCGAACATCGGCAGAGAGACTGTGTGAAAGAAGTCTAGGAGGAAAATTGTGCAAGTTCTCCTCGTCTGAACAACGTGGAAGACGCCCTGGCTTTGGAACTCCACGCCTTCCTCGTGCATGAGGGCGCGCCACTGAAGTTCACTTGATGGTCGACCCGAAAATGAAGGGTTTAGGGCCCATTCGACGTCGACGTAGTGTCTGAATCCAATCGTGGTATCAGCTGTCCCTAATACCGCAACGTTTCACATATTTGCACTCTGTATCACGGCGGCCAGACTCTGCGCGATGGTAACTAAATTCAGTTTCGAATGGTATTTCAGAGGAGGATCTCTGTCCAGGATGCGGTGCACTTGTCTTCTCCTCTGCTTCTTTCCGCTGGCAGGCTCAGGATCTCCGTCCTCGTGGAAATGGTCCTCAGCGCATCAGGACGACCGAAACGCACAAGTCTTTTCCGGGCCCTTCTAAGACCAGGCTCTGAGTCAGACTCATGCGAGTCGCTGGATGTCTCGGCCTGGTTTAAGAAATTGTAAGAACATAGAAGCAGTCTGCCAGCTAGACAGGGCCATAGATCGTCGCAGCGACTTCGCAGCGCAAAGCTGGCACCCTCTCAATGCCCTGCCTCTGCACACAACTTCGGCCTCCGCCGTCTCTTGAAGATGCCGCACGAGCACGGCATGCCGCGGACAAGACGAGCCCAGCTCACGACCACTACATCAGCTGGCACGTGCCACGAGTGCTTGACGGTTTCTCAGCATGTTGCGTTGTGCCGTCTGGTCTTCAATGTCGTCTTGCCGCATCTTGAAGCATGTGTTGTGAATCAAATAAAGGCTCGGCGGACTCGTCAATTATCTCAAGGAGTGTGAAGTTGTCCTGCTTGAGCTTGTGTCAGGCTGGAACAGACGGAAGCAAGGTCACACGGCGTTTGCTGGATGAGTGCAGGCTTCACGCACAGCGAAGGGCTGCACCCCCGCTTTTCGGGTCTTCTCTTTTCTCTGCCTCTCTCTTCACTTCACTTCACTTCACTCACGGGGTCGAGAGGGCGTGCGAAGTCCCCCGCACCGACAGGTGCACCACTGTTGCAGGGCTTTGTAGGGGAAGCGTGAGAAAAGGAGCTCGGAAAAAGACATGGTTCCTCCGCTGTCTCTCTCTCTCTCTCTCTCCTGTTCCCCGGAGCGGGACCGAGCCGCTCTCGCCCTCCTTCTCTCCACTCTGCTGGCAGCTGAAACAGCAAGGAGACTGGGTTTTGAGCTCATGGCATGCTGCACAGGATTCCAAGGAAAGTCAGTGCGTGTCGAAGCTAGGAGTTCAAAGGATGCATTCATGACCTGCCAGATCGGATGAAAACGTTGGCCAACCTCGCGGATACACATCTATCTTAATGACGCGCACTCACAAGCAGATCACCTCAGGCATCCTTCTAGCAGGTCAAGTGAAATCCTGGGAAAGTTAAAATCAGCGGCGACGTCTTCTCTGGCTGCGCGCTGCCCGTCGTTTTCGACGTTGACGAGCGTGTACAAGCCAGTGCATCAAAGCGGGAAGACGATGGTGCCAAAAAATGCTAGTTGTTCATGCATGGCCCTGAAGCAATGTTGAGGGCAAGTCAACACATTCCTTGGTGTCACTTTGGCAGCATGGGGCTGTGTGCCGTGGCTTGGTCTCAGCCTTTACAGCACCTGTGTGCAACGGTAGATTTCCCACTTCCCCTACTAGCGAGCCTTCACACCGCCACCGTTCAGGCAAGCTTCAAATTCCAGCATTCTCCAGGCGCAGAATGGAATTCAGGTCCTCAGTTTCGCGTGAGCGCGCTTGTCTTCGAGTGTCACTGTCAGTATAGTTGTCTCCCTCTTGAGCACCCCGCCATCGAGGTACCTTTGCGCGTCCTATGCTGTACTAGGATGACCCTGTAAGTTGATAGATGTGCTGAGCGCAGTGGGCTCGTTCCAAAACAATTGCAGATTATGGCACTGCTATGCACTGCTCACACCTTCAGTACGGATGCTAACTTGTCCTTTACGAACTTCACGGTAACTTCCAGGGTCATCCGCAAACTTCCCAGAGCGAAGTCAGCGGGCTGCAATCTTCGGTGCGCACCTCAGCCCAATTGCCCCAACATCCGCTGGCATTGAAAAATCCGCTTGATTCCGCTTGTGCCCCTGGGCTCCATGCAATAATGCCAGAAGCAATACACCAGCCGCGGCTGTTCTTTCTGTAACTTTTTATCACTTATACTTTTAGCCCAACACGGGACCGAGCAGCTGGTATGTGTAGTACTGGGACGGATCCTCAGTATCCACCGGCAATCAACAAAAGCTCCTGGCCCCTTGGCTCGCAGTGCTGGTGGTTTTCGCATGTCTTTGCCAGCCGCTCTGAAGGGAAACGCCTCGGGCTGCGGCGTAGCTCTGCTGAATCGTCAGGGCGGGCTCCTGGCCAACAAGTCTGTTTCGACGCACGAGGACAAGCCCCAAGTGGCACCATATGGCACCATCCCGATGCTGGCGAAAAATTGAAAAACCATGCATCAACAACTGAAAATTGAAAAAACCGGTCCTGCCACGTTGGGTTTGGCTGAACGTTCGGCTGCAGGTGCTGTGCGTTCATCTGAAGGTTGGGCTGCACGTTCGGCATTCTCACGCACTGCTGCATCGGGACGAAGTCCGGTGCCCTGCTCCGCAAATGGACAAGCAAAGCTATGAGTGCAGTTCGCTGAGGTTCAGCTCGACTTGCTTGGTAGTGCAGAATCTGTAAGCTGTCAGGTTTCGGTATCTTCTGCCTCGCGTGCATCTTGGACGGGGTCTCTGGCGTAGCCTAGGCTAACTTCATCCAACACGAATTCGGATAGAGAAACACAACGCAAAATCAACAAAAATGTAGCATGGCCGTCTGTTGCGGCATGCTTGGTGCTGTAACACGACTGCTCTTCCAGTTCATCGCAAGGACCTGAAGAACATCGGTTTGAGAGCCGAATGCAGCCCAAGGAACGCTTGGCGGAGGTGGCGCCAACCTTACATATCGGGTACATACCAGGCCGGGTCGGGATGCCGAGCCCGTGGCCAGAGATGCTGATGCGACAGATTCAGACACCAGCTGCACTGCCTCCGAAGAAACATTCGAAGGTTGTCGCCCTTGATCTTGGCGATCTGGTCCATGGGCCCATCAGAAGAGGCAAGTTGCACATTGTAGCCTTGCAGGCTTACCAGCACACAGGTGCCCGCTCCAGCTGCCAACGGTTTGCACAGTGAGAGCTGAGAACCCGACGACCTGTGGTTTTGTCCAGCAGCTGAATCGTGCCGCGAAGGCCGTTGAAAGCAGGGAATTTCTGCAGTCCTGGGCCGCCAGAGAAATCATGCGTTAAAACACAGCCACTTGTCAAGTATTGCCCAGCAGCCTTCAATGATTACCTCTGTACCAGGAGCGAAGTCCTCGCAAAAGCACACGAAAGAAGGACACTGCACCAAGCTTGCAAGTCCAACGAAGCCTATTGAATCCTGTTGACCTATTGATTCATTGCTGCATTTTATCTGAAATATGAAGCAGCAGATTCAGATAGAACCTGCCGCCTCTGTCCCGACCAGTACCCCCCGATACTGGTGCTTTCTCTTGCTTACTTGTCCCAGCTGCGGCATTGCCCCCGCAGGCTCACTCAGCTATCCAGGTGCCGAATCCCCCGGAAACGCAAGGACAAGTTCAAAGTTTCGGCATGTGCAATGGCAAAGCTAGATCACTGTAGATGCTCGACACTGGAAGCTCGGTCGACACTGGAAGCTCGGTCGACTTTCAGGCCTCGGTCCCGCCCATCCGCCCCCGCCCCGAGTGCTTATAGTGGCTTGGGGCTACTGGCGTGTGTTCTGCATCGGGTCGCCTTTACTGGAATCAAGGTCCGGCAACGCATCGCCACGCTAAGCAACCTCCAGGCCTCGTCCTCGCGCCCCTGTGTGGCCCCAGCCGCGTGTTCCAGCTCTCACCCCCTCCCTGTCTCCCTCTCTCCCTCCCCCTTCCTCTACCTCGCTCTCAGACTTTCCCTCTGTCCGTGTCATCCGGAGAAGAGCACAGCTGGCCTTGGTCTTGGTGATCTCCGGAACCTCTGGAATCCATGCATTGGCAGGTTCGGCAGCAGGAGTCGCGGGGCCTGCCGACAGGCTGCCGAAACCACAACTTCCGAAAAAAAAAAAAAACTTCCTGTTGTGGCGACTTCTCGAAGGCAAGAGCTGGGGCAGCCCGGACTCCACCGCGGTGCGTGCCCGGGACTTGCCTATGTTAGACCCTTGCAGCTGATTCCTGCGTGACCGTCTTGTGGGATCTGGGCAGCTTCCTCCTGCAAGCACTGCCGAAACCTTAGCGGGAGAAGGGCACATCCGCCAGTGGAGCAATGTGCAGCAATGCACAGAGCTCACCAGACACCACGCCGGGATAATTGCAGTGTAGAAGCATTCCATGAGGCATAGACTGGATGTTGCGCTGATCCACGAAACCCTTCTCCTGGCACTGTCTCATGTCGCTCGAAGCTTCAGCTGCACGGGCATCATCAGAAAGTGTCCCCAACCCCAAGCCCAATGCCGTGATCCGGCAGAGACATCACAGAAGCTTGCCTCGATGTGGATGAAAGTGTTCCGCACCTGGTAGAGATTTGACAGTAGTGCCGCAACTTCCTCGGTGGGAAGCGCAAGGCAAGGCATGCACGAAACCGGCTCAATCCATGGCTCCAGCAGGCTTCAAGTCGTGCAAGAGCTGATGCGACCGACATGAAGCGTAAGCCAAGGCTCTTCAAATAAGGCGCCACCAGAAATGCCCTCTGTCTTTTCCGGCGAGGCAGCTCCTGGCATGGATCTTTGTCCCAGCCCAGCTGAACCAAGTCGCATCGCAAGGAGTTCCTCTGAACTAGTTAGGCGCATGGGGAACTCTGAGGCAGAATGCATTCTCCAACATCGGAAGCCCCAGAGACAACTGACATGGATCTATGAGGAAATGGATTCCGATTTCCCAGTGTGGTTTCATGCGTTGGCGCCTGAAACGGCAGTGGAATGATCCGAAGCACACTCTGCCTGCTGCAGCTCTTTGGGACCTTCCGTGTCAACGCAACAGGCGGGACATAAGCGACGCAAGTTATCGAACTTAACATAGCGGGTTTAACCTTAAGAGCACTGCGGTACTTCCACATCGCTGCGCCAATGCCGACTCCGGGCCTTCCTTTGCCAGGCCGGCTTTCAATGTTGCCGCGGTCTTGAACAGATGCAATCTGCCTCGGCAGACTTCAGAGGCTGCGACCACTTGATGAACCAATGATGTAAAGAGATACGCAGCGCAGAGGTTCAACTTTGCAACATCCTAGACTCCTAGACTGCCTGATCTGCAATGCGGCAAAAGTTCGTTCCTCACCAAAACCGTAGCTTTCGCACTTCATCTCCGGATACTTCTCCGCCAGCTTCTTGGCCTTCTCGTCTCTCAGCTTCCGTCGCTCTGACACGATCTCCGCTACTCCGCGCGCCTGCTTGCGCTGCTCGGGATCCAAAGGCGGCAGCCGCAGCTCCTGGCAGCTCCTGGCCGCAAGGCGAAGACGGGGAGAAAAAAAGGCGCACTTGGCAGATCCGGGGCCCCGGCACGTCGGCGAGGAAGGACTCCAAAGCCTCGACTCTCTGCTCTCAAACCCCGCGCCCCGTCTCTTTCTGTGTCTGATGCGGGGTTTGTCGAGGATCGCTGACAACACCCTCGACCAAAAGGGAGAAACAAAACAAAACGTAACACGGATAAACTCCACCCATGTCATTCAATCGTGCACTGCTGGGGATGCAGCCTTGGGTCAGACATGTGCATTCATTTGCTTGTTCCGGGCTCCGCATGAGATGCTGTCGGAGCGGCTTTCTCGATGTTGAAGGTCTCTTGCTCCGCATGCTCTGCCACATCGACCTACGGTAACCCAAGCGGAACTCTCTCTGGCAGCAAAACATCTGCACAGCCTGCGTCATTCCAGTCATTCCAGAGTCGGCTGGGAGATGGCGGTTTCACTGACCAATATCCTCACATTGCAGATGCGTGCATCAGGTCAGCCCTGGAAGCCCTGGAGGCTGTGCTGTCCTTCGGGAGGATCGTCGAGTCCTGCCCGGATCTTTGCAGGCACATGCAACTTGTCGGCTCAAGAAACCGCACCAGAGCCACGACAGCCATCCAACATGAAGTACTGCGAGCCTTGATCCGCTGGTCTGCACTCAGGGCTCAAATATCTGTACCACTTCGACCACTGACTGGGTCTTCTGAATTCCTGGTGAGCCAATGGTAAGAGTCAAGGCCAACCCTGTTGATCCACGTGGGGCCGACGTGACCCTTGCATGTAGCCGACGATGGATCCGGTGACACCGTCTTTTCTTGGACGAAGACTCAGCGCCTGAGTACAAGGATCTGAGGATGGCCGAAGCCTTCCCAAGCCATGCACCCAGCAGATCGTAGACGGCTTCAAACCCTTAGCCGTTGCGAGTGGCTCGGGAAGACTCTCGCATCGTGGCAGAGGGTCTTGGAGATGCCCCTGCTGCGCCAGCTACAGCGACGTGTCGCCACTGATTGCCGAGCCCCGCTCAAACACTTACGGATGCCTCCAGTACTGCATACGATATTCACGAGCTGTGAAAGGCTGACGCAGCACCCACGCCACTGGTGGGCGTCAGGGCATCCTCAAGTGTCCGCGATCAGTAACCCGAAGCTAGTTGCGCCAGGGTCTCGGCCTGCGCCGGCCTAGCCCAGCATTTCGACCAGATGGGCGCAAACGAGGACCGTGGCTTCGAGTGCTGTGGCAGGGACCGGGCACATATAGAATCACAGAAAGCCCTTCCATGCGCGCTATACATAAACTGGGAAGTCGTGGGTGCCCTCACTCAGCCCCGAATGGAAAAAAATTATCGACGTGGCTCAGCTCTGAATCAAGTTGAGAGCGGATTCCATGGGCGTGATGGCCCCTGAGCTTTCCAAGCGCTTGTGACGGGCAGCCGACCACATGACCACCCTACACTGAGCGCAGCCAAGGCTCGAATTCGTGAACTCACAAATCTGTTGCACAAATAGTCCTCCAGCCGTGGCAAGATGCACAAGCATCGTCATTTCTTGGACTTTCTATCATGCCGAGGTGCCGTTTCAAATTCGGTGGTCGAAATACGAGTCTGAAGGTCAGCGAGCTGCGTACTTCACAGGAGGAGGAACCGGAGGATACCTTTCAAGTCATTCAGCAGGGCATCTCTCAGAACTCAACCCCCGGTCGAAACCCTGCTTGGAACGACCAGGCGAGCGACACGCCTGTTGATCTGGCTCCGACCGCGAGACACTGCTGCTCCCGCTTGCTTGGCTCCCTTAAATTCCCTTAAAGTAAATCCTCCAAACTGATGCCTGCAGGCCGTGCCAGGCATGTCGCGACCGAAACGCCACCCGTCCCCGTCCGGGCACAGCCACACCTCCTACTACTGACAGATTACAGACAAGTTGCGAATGTGCCGGGTGCACGTACGAGTCGTACTGGCAGTGAGGATCTCCCTCGGCACTCGGGGCATGAACGCAGCTCGACCGTTTCCTTCCTCCCTGCGCATGTCTGCA